GCGGCTAAAGTAAACAGTCCCTCAGAGAGCGGCTCGAAGAGAGGGGCGGGGTTAGCAGAGCTCATTAACATTTAAAGGAAAATCGGCTTGATCTGAAAAGAGCTGTTTTTGATAGGGTAAAAAAGGTGTTTTTTACACCACCATTGAGAAATTTTAACCAAACTATGTTAGTGTTTTCATTAAGACCCTAAAGAATCATATCAACTTGTGGAAAATGGGCATCCGATGACCCCTTTAAAGATGTTGAATATGTATGTAGAAACAATTTGTAAGTTTATTGCAAAATAGGCATATTTACACAAATTAAAGTAGTTTGAGATTGGAGGGAGACTAACTCAGTTACATCATTCACAGTACTTTATGGGAGTGGATAGGCGCTAAAAAGTTTTATTTTATAATTTTCTTGTTTCGGTTGTCTGATTGCTGGATATTTCTTTGGGGAATCATGGATAATGTAGTTTCTCACAGGGACTTCTGCTGCACGCGACAAGAATGAAGAAAAAGCATTAAGCTGCAGAGCAACAAACATCCATCAAGCACATGGCACCAAGATATTAGAAGCAGATCCTTGCAGAGCTACAAGGAGGTGCCTCCACCTTGGACTAGTTGGACTACTTGGATTGGTTCAGAGTTGTACAATTCTGCTCCTGGAGGGCCAACGTCCTGCAGATTTTTAGTCCAACCAGTTCCAACACAGGTTTGGACACCCCTAGATGTGTTGGCCCAGCACATCTCATAGATCAGGGGTCACCAACCCTGCTTCTAGAGAGCTACCGTCCCGCAGATTCAGCTCCAAACCCAACCTAGCAGGCACCGGACGTCTATGTAACGTCAGGTTGCCGTTGCATTTTGGTTGAAAATGAAAATCGGGTTTGATGTCAATATTTGAAGTCAATTTGTCGTTGACTTAAAGGGGTCATATGATGCTATTTTAAAGATCATTATTTTGTGTATTTGGTGTAATAGAATATGTTGACATGCTTTAATGTTCAAAAAACACATTTTTAAAATACTGTACATTATTGTAGGTCCTCTATGCCCCGCCTCTCTCAAACACTTCGTTTTCAACAAAGCCCCCTCCTTTGACAAGCGCAGTCTGCTCTGATTGGCCAGCTGACCCAGTGCATTGTGATTGGCTGAACACCACAAGCAGGCGTCGGAAATGTAATTTACCATACCATACCCTTACCATGATCGCGAGCTTCAGCTTTCAAAGTAAATATCAAGACAGTTAATAATGTCGAAATGTAACATTCCCATTAGATGTTGAATTTACATTGAATCTTGGTCACCCGCCGTCGCAACCGAAATTTAACCAAATATCAACGACGTTGTGTGCCTGCTGGGAATTAAACACACCTGAACCATCTAAAATGAAAATGTTCAGGGTTACTTGATAATTAAGCAGGTTTGGAACTGAAGTCTGCAGGACAGGAGCTCTTCAGGACATCCCTGTCATAGATGCTCAATCGGGGGAATCTGGTTGAACATTGAACTTTGTCATGTTCTTCAAACTTCTTGAACAATTTTTGCATTGCGGCAGTGTGCATTATCCTGCTGAAATAAGCCACTGCCATTAGGGAACACCACTGCCATGAAGGTGTGTACATGGTCTGCAACTGTCTTTTGTTAGGTGGTCTCAAAGCAACATCCACATGATGCTCACATGCCCATTATTGGCACTTTCGGCAGTGGACATGGGTCATCATAATGGCAATATGCCTTGTCTGTGATATACTGTGTGTTCAGACACCTTTCTATCATGTCCAGCATTTTGTTTTCGGTTTTAGCTATCCTTCGCTCCCCACATGCATCGTTGAGCCTTGGGCACCTATGACCTTGATTTCCGTTTACTGGTTGTCCTTCCTTGCCACTGTTGGTAGGTACCCAGTCACTCTAGCCATCACTATTTTTAGCCTTTGTCAAAGTCACTCAGATCTTTTCGCTTGCACATTTGTTCTGCTTCCAACATATGAAATTCAAGAACTGACTGTTATTACTTTCTTTAGATTGATGTGCTGTAGCTATGTTTATGCGTAAGTGTACAATTCTCTTCAGGGGTCCCGTAACCCCAAAACTTGGAAGGCTGCATCCTACAAGAAACAGTAAAAGCTTCATAAATCCTTATGTTACATCTGTGCAAAGTTCATTTTTAATAATGCCATACATGATTTTCAATGCCCGTTTTGTGTGTACACAACATTTAGACACGAGGCCCCTGATGTAGCTCTCAGACTAGAGTTGCTCCAGCTCATTTCTTTCAGCTTTAAAGACGAGCACCACAAAGTGTTTGATCTTCAAAAGAGGATGACCAGCGCAGGAAAGACAAGAGAGGGATAATCTCTCGATTTCAAAGAAGATGTGACATTTTCCAGCGACCTTATTGAGCTTATAACACATGAAACGGTTTCCTGAATAAGCAGGTTCATCGTGGTCATTACTGGTGGCATTTTAGCCTTGATCTGCCCAGCAGAATATTACAAAAGACATGCCGAGATATAAAAATTACATAAAAGCTACTCTGTCCAGAATAAAGCAGGATCACAACACACGATTCAATCAGGAATGGAGGATGCGCCAACACTATGGACACCTACTTCCCATACACTTAACACGTACACTTTACTCAATCAACAGACCTGTATCTATCGCCATTCTTTCTTCTCCTCCAGTGTTCTTTCAATCCAAGCATTTCAAATATTAATTTCTCTCTCAGGTTTTAGCCCAGTCTGTCCTCAGTGGAAAGTCTGGAGCCAGGCTGACTGAGCGGCGACGTGAGGAAGGGCAATTACCTTCTGCCACCCGAGACTTCCAACAAAAACACCAGTGTGTGTAATTAAAGAATGAATGGCGGACCTCGCTCTTTACTCTCTCACCCTTTCATGATCAGGGCCCCATTACGCGTGGACAGGAGGAGCACCGGGGGCCAGTGCGGGAACAGTTGAGATAAACGTCTTTCAATCATGAAATAAAAGACAAAGAACAAAACCTCTCTAAATTACGACTGCCGCGCTTTCACCATGACATCTAAGGCCCTGTTCTAAAACAAAGCTGTGCTCTTTTAAGGAAACACTACATAGTTACAATCACACTGATTTCAATAGTTTGACATTAGCACATTGCTAAGCTAATTACACCTTAAAGTATAATAAATGCATAATCAAATTTTGGGTAAGAAAAAAAGAAAAAAAAAGAGATTTTTAAATAATGTTGAATAAAATAAAAATTCACCCTATTTTGTAAATGCATGTTATTGGGCTTACTGCAAATGCATTTAACCACTATTTTTGTGGTTAAAAAAAAAAAAAAAAAAAAAACAAACAGAATTATTGGCACCCTTGGTAAATATGATCAAAGAAGGCTGTGAAAATAAATCTGCTATTGTTAATCATTTTGATCTTTTATTTAAAAAAATAAAATAAAATATATATATATAAAATAATAATTCACAAATATCTAACCTTTTATTGAACTAAAACAATTGAAAATGGGGGGGGGGAAAAAATCATATGAAATAAATGTTTTCTCAAATACACGGACATAAAAAAAGAAAAAAAAAGAGATTTTTAAATAATGTTGAATAAAATAAAAATTCACCCTATTTTGTAAATGCATGTTATTGGGCTTACTGCAAATGCATTTAACCACTATTTTTGTGGTTTAAAAAAAAAAAAAAAAAACACAATTCAAGATTTGTTGATACTTGTTACATCACAACTTTAACTTTATAAATCAATTTTTACGACTTATTTAACTTTTCTTTCTATTGTGTCCACTGAGATGAATTATGGGTTTGGATTTCACAAAATATGCAGTATACTATAAACTTCAGCAAGAATTAGGTATCTTTGAAAACAGAATCACCTTTTCTGTGTAAAGGACACCCATAATTCCTTAAAACGCGTGTAGGTTTTAAAACGAAGCCCAACTATGATGACCTATTAAGACTTTTTATGGTTCAGGTGAGACAAACAGGAGGGGATTAGAGACGAGGACAAATCTTGGACATTGCACAATGTTTTATTAAAAAGTAAAGAAATTACACAAAGGGGAGAAGAAAAAAAAACTATCAGTCCCCAAATCTTCCTGGCCCCCCCTCCCTCCCTGCCCCTTACTTTTATATAACACAAGATTTTACAACTGGCAGTGACACTGAAGGGGTCTTAAAAAAAAGAAAGAAAAAAAGAAAAAGAAAAAAAGACTTTCAGAAAACTGAATGAAGTCTTCGGAATCTGTGGGTGCAAAAAAAGGGTAAGGATTTCCTTAAAGTTTAGTTTCCCTACCAGGCCGTGGAGCTATAAATACATATGAAAACAGCTTTGACCACCTCTACTACCTCCTAACTGAAAGAAAGCATTTACACCTGTGAGACAACTCACTTTCCAAGCCTGCCAATCTTAAAGGTATGTTTCACTGATAGAAAACAACAGGTCACATGATGGATAACGTGGTAAAGATTACGAAAATGGTACTAAACAAAAGATATAAAAGAAATTGTCACGCCCCAAAGAATATTATGAACCAATTCAAGAAGTTTATGATAAGAGTGACCTCGCTTCTGAAGTTTAAAATAAGCCTAATCTAGATGGGGGGGGGGAGATTAAATCAGAAATCTCCATAAAAATGAAAAAAGAAAAAGAAAGTTTTAATCCAGAATAAAGCCCTGAGCAGCACATCTGCTGTGGACAAACATACCCATCTTAAACTGAGACTTCCGTGGCTACGATCAAAAACCAAAATATAGTCAAAGCTTATTATTTACATAGTCATATGAAAAAGGAAATCGGATAATAGAATTTCACTTGAGTGTTTCACATCTGACTTGACCATCTTGATTTTAGGTTCAATTTATCACTGCAAAGGTCTTTAGTGGGGATATAACATTCAAATGTCAGTTTTACACCAAGGGGCGCTTTTCTTTCGAAGACCACTGTAGTAGAGTGCCACCTACTGGTTTCAAGGGAATAAGAGCAGCATGAGGTTTAGAGGAATTGCTAGACGCCAATAAACAAGACCAGTGATCTCCTGCTTTTCAAAAACAGAAGTTGTCTAACCGAACGCAAGGATGACAGCTTTTATTGTAAAACTGCAAAATAATAAATGACTAAAGAAAAGGAAAAAGTGGTGGCACATTCAAAAATAAAGACTTTTAGTTCAGTGTCATACCACCATGGGGGTTTAGTGCCAATTAAACCGCTCTTATGAGACACAGAAAACACATAACGTCAGTTTCACTGAAAGAGCCTAGTTCTGGACGCTCACTGGTTAATTCATTTAGAAGGTCTACGCAAAAGGATCCGTTTCATTCTGAATCACTTTATAACATTTACAGGTTAACTTTTACAGGGAAACCTCTCAAGCCATCAAAATCAGACATGGCTTGGTGGTATCTGCAACCCAATTACAATCTTTTTTGGGATACAAGTGGTTTTTTTTTTATTATTATTTGAGTTTTTTTAGGCCAAATATCAAATGAAAAAAGTCTCAAGAGCTCAAGGAGATGACATCTCTTTTTCAATGCAAATCTTAAGGTTGAAAAACCAAGTGTCACCATTATTAATCAACTTACAAATATAAATCAGTTTTCTCCAATATTAACAAAAACTTCCAAAAAGTAAAATAAACCCAAACATCTACATCGGGGTGAGCAAAAGTTCCGTCCAATATGCAGTGGTATGGGGCACCCCGTTTCGCCTTCTGATTAATAAGGAGGGGGTACAAAAATGAATACAAAGAACACAAAGCACCCTGGTCTTCATGAGCGTTTGAGCCTCTTGGAATGTCGCTGGACGCCCGAGTCCTCGTCACTGCTGGCCTCCTTGTCATCCGTCACACCTCGTGCAGTCCGTCTCAATCCAGTTCTCCTGCTGTCCCTCTCATTGTCGCTGTCCTGCTCCCGATAATCTTTGCGATTTGTCCGCTTGCTCTTCCTTCTCACAGACTCGTCCTCCTCCTCATCTTCCTCACTTTCGCTGTCATCTTGGTTCCATTGTCCACCGCACTGTCTGGTCTTCCTCTGTCCAGAGTCTTCCTCATCATCTTCCTTCTGTCTGGATGAGGCTCTCCCTTGCTTCCCATTTTGTATCTTCTTTCCCCTCTCCTCCTCATCATCTTCCTCCTCCTCCTCTTCGGAGTGAGCGGCCGGACGCTTGCGTGATCGCCGTCGCAGGTAGCCGATCCCAGGGAGGCTCTTCTGCATGAGCTCGATGAATGCCTGCTCTGTGCACGCCATGCAGGTCAGGACGTCGCTGTCGGGCTCGTTGTATTCCTCTGCATTTGAGAAGACGAGCTTCACGTCCTTGACAAAATCGCTGGCGTTGTGGTACTGGGAGGATTTGAACTTGTCCTGCATGGTGGTGAAGTCCATCGGGCAGCTGATGATGTCCCGATAATCCTCGGCTTCTTCAGCAGATACAGGTTCCCTGGATGAGAGGAAGAGAAAGCACTTCTTCACTACTCACATTAACTGCATTAATGATACACAATCACCAAATGGCACATCAAACTATTAGAAGTTAAAGAACACCCTGACAGGTTTCAGAATTCTCAATATCACCAAATAACAAACTAACATGAATTCATGAATTAATAATGAAAAACTAATTCTACAAATACTGTATTTAACCTGGATACATACTAGGGCTGGGTATCGGTTCAAATGTCCTGATTCGATTCCGATTCACAAGCTCTTGATTCGATTCTTGATTCAATTCTCGTTTTTTTTTTTTTATTACATTCAGTGTATGTAGCTTTAATACAAATGCTATTGATATTTCTAAAAAAAATGAACAGTAAACATCAGTTTACAAATGATGAATTAATAAAAAGAAATTAAGAGCCACAGACCAGTATTTTAAACCTAGCCTTTTTTTTTTGTATAGGGTCCTTAAAAAAAAAATATATATATATATATATATATATATATATATAGGGCCCAATAAAATATATATATATTTTATTGGGCCCTATATATATATATATAGGGCCCAATAAAATATATATATATTTTTTTCTGGTAATCAGATGAAGGCATAAAACATTAATTTAATTTATCCTAATCAAATGAAAATTAAGTGCTGCACAACAGAGGTTGACTATTAAAATAAAAAAATAAAACAAATTTATTAATATTTATTAGTAGTAGTAGCAGCATTGCTGTTACATTGAGTCTTAAGACTGCACAAAAGTAATATACTTCTGACACGGCTTCTTCGCATTAAACCAAACTTTTATTTTGACAGGTTACTGTGAAGAACTTGCAGCTGCTGTGTATGTGTATATAGGGCCCAATAAAATATATATATATTTTTTTTCTGGTAATCAGATGAAGGCATAAAACATTAATTTAATTTATCCTAATCAAATGAAACTTAAGTGCTGCACAACAGAGGTTGACTATTAAAATAAAAAAATAAAAAAAATGTATTAATATTTATTAGTAGTAGTAGCAGCATTGCTGTTACATTGAGTCTTAAGACTGCACAAAAGTAATATACTTCTGACACGGCTTCTTCGCATTAAACCAAACTTTTATTTTGACAGGTTACTGTGAAGAACTTGCAGCTGCTGTGTATGTGACATGACAGTAGTTTTCTCAAATTAAACGGTAAAATGCTAATGAAGTGTCTCTCAGGGCAGCTGGAGATGATATTCGTGTGTTCATGTCATCATATAGTGAGACGGCAGAAACTGAAAACACCGCAGGCATCGTTCGTGCTTTAGTATGAGTGTAGTAAACAAAACAGTGCGTTGCGCCATCTGCCATTCATTAATTGTGGAAATCATGGTGCCTTATGCGTGATATCAAATGCTTCCGCAGATTTATAGTATTACTATGGCATTTCACCTGATCATTGCATATCACGCCTATTGCTTTGTTCTTGTCAACAGTATCTCCGCCATAAGCACTAAATGAATGACAGGCTTTCTGCTGTAACAGTGCGCAAGGTAAATAAGAGGGTGACATCTACTGGAGAAGACTAATGATAAGAATCACATTAATCAGATCTTGTGTTAAAGGGTTAGTTCACCCAAAAATGAAAATTACCCCATAAATTACTCACCCTCAAGTCATCCTAGGTGTATATCACTTTCTTCTTTCTGACGAATCCAGTCGGAGTTGTATTAAAAATTGCATTTGATCTTTCAAGCTGTTTAATGCCACTCAGCAGGTGTTGCTTGCATCAGTCCAAAAAAAGTTAAATAAAAAGCGCCCATCCATAAAAAATTTTTTTTTAAAAAGGTGTCTCACACGACTCCGGGGGGTGAACAAAGGTCTCCTGTAGCGAATCGATGCGTTTTTGTAAGAAAAATATCCATATTCAAAACGTAATCACTTTAATGTAGCTTGCGCCAACAGTTGTACACGGAAGCAGCTCCGGGCGGATGACATATGAGGTGAGCTTTGCGCATGCGCCGCTCAGAAGTGACGAACGCGGAAGTGCAGGGGAGAGATCAAAACAAAACAACGGTCACTTATTAGAAGTACAAAACGAGGATTTGTAAAGAAGAATGTCGGAGGATTTCGATATAAGCCAAGAGGAGACTGGTTTTCCTTTGCTAAAGTAAGAAAGCTTTACTTCCTTTGCTCCTGTTAACAAACGTTGGTTTTCACGAGACTCACCGGTGCATGAGCAACGCTGAACTCATAACTCATCAGCCCGGAACTGCTTCCGTGTACAACTGTTGGCGCAAGCTACATTAAAGTGATTATTACGTTTTGAATATGGATATTTTTCTTACAAAAACGCATCGATTCGCTACAGGAGACCTTTGTTCACACCCCGGAGTCGTGTGAGACACCTTTTTTTTTTTTTAATGGATGGGCGCTTTTTATTTAACTTTTTTTGGACTGATGCATGCAACACCCACTGAGTGGCATTAAACAGCTTGAAAGATCAAATACAATTTTTAATATAACTCCGACTAGATTCGTCTGAAAGAAGAACGTCATATACACCTAGGATGACTTGAGGGTGAGTAATTTATGGGCTAATTTTCATTTTTGGGTGAACTAACCCTTTAAATATTTGCGGAAATAAATACCGCAAAAGTTCGATTCGCAGCTCTTGAGAATCAATATCGAATCAACGTCATTTTAAAAAACGATTAATCGAAAAATCTATTCCCCCCCCCCCAGCCCTAATACATACAGTACACTCACACTGGGGAGTGGTACGTACAGTACAAGAGCAAATCTCAACTGCCCGATTGCTATATTGTCAAAAAACATTAACTATATTATTCACCCTTGCGATATATTAAGGTTGGATATATAGTACATGCCTTACATGCATACATAAAGTAAAGTACTTGCATACATAAAGTATACTCCCATCAAGCAATATATATTATATAACAATAATATTCTATATTTTTATTTCACCACAAAATGTAAATCATATATCCATATGAAGTTGGATATTAAACTACGTCAAACTTTATCTGCATACAAAATACTTGCAGAGGGTGTAACAAGCAAGCTATACTGCTGCAAAATATAAACTCACCCAGCTCTAATCTGCTAAATGCTACTACCAGGCATAAAGATATTAAGATATAAACATGAATAAATATTAAATTAAAACAATGGCAAGTAGCCTTTAGGTACTTAAAGTCTTAACACCTTTTTTAAATGACATGTTATGAGACTAAATGTGATCAACAAATATACTTGTAAAATAAAAGTCAAAAAAGTCTCGTGAGGGTATACCTGAAGGGCCAGCTGTGTCGGTATTTTATCAGCTTCTGAAGAATCTCCTCACATTTCTCTACCTCAATAGCTTGTTTCTTTGATAGAGACTTGGAGCTCTGTCGCACCTGCACACAATCAACAACACTTAAGAAACACTTGTATATGGTGCCTAATAATACTATTCCCTGCACTAATTGTTTCATTTACAAGTTTTTTTGCTTCAGCACACTCTGTGCTATTGCTTAATGAACAAACTCTTCTTTATTTGAACAAACTCTTCTTTTTCACAAGTACTTTTTAATGATTCAGCTGAACCCGTTTGCAAAGCATTTGTAAAATAAATTGCCTTCAAGAATGAGCACAACGAAAATGAAAGGGTCATGAAACCCCGTTTCCACACTGGTTAGTTCTCCGCACTAGAGCCGGACCGATATGGGTTTTTTGGGGGCCGATGCCGATATTAGGGAGTAAAAAAAGACCAGTACTGATATATCGGCCGATATTCTTTATGTGTAGGCTATATTATAGTACAGTATAGTCAAACGTTTGGACACTTCCCATTCGTGTGTCCAAACTTTTGACTGGTACTGTACATTAGAATACAGCATATAGCCTACATAAACAGAATATATACCCTTAAACACATTTTTTGCAATGATAACTCAAATGTGGTGATCAAACACTTATAATGATGTGACAAACATAGGCCTATGTAGTGGAGGCAGGGTATTTATTTAACAATCTTTATTATTCAAAATGAGTCTGATATCAGTGCACTTAAGAGTAAACTTCACTTATTATAAATAACACAAATAGAACAAAATATATATAACTTGAATTAAGAAATTAAACAAGGTAACTGTGTAGGGCAAGCAAGCTACTGCCAAACCAACAGGGGCAGGTTTATGCAGGAAGCACAGTTTTTACTAATGTAAACATCTAAAATGAATAAATAATTACATTTTTTCACAAACTCTGTGTTGTGTATTTTCTGGTAATCAAATGAACATGCAGAACATTCATATTTAAATCGTCTTTTTGCAATTTAATATTCACAGACACAGTATATATACACACTGACCTGTTTTTTATTTATTCATCAAAAATAAGACAAAATCCATAAAATTCCGTGATTCCATTCATGTTTTCTGCATCGCGGAAATCATAGGGTCCTACTAATGTAGCAAACGAATATGATAAGCTCGTTGTGAGAGTAAAAGACGGGGACATTGTTGTTTATTTACTTAGCATCGAGTCTCTCCAACTAGGCGACAACGTAGCGTTAAATCACCATTCAACAGACTCAAGCCACCACCGCACTGCCGATTATACCAGCCGCGCGGCTGGTATAATCACCAGTCCAGCCGTGATCAGCTCCAGTGGCTGTAACAGGCTTTAATGCGCCGCAGACGTGTGCCGTGATGCGCAGATCAGCTCTAGTCTCTAACGTTACTGAATCTGCGGTTAAAAATGAGCCATCCATCCATTCATCATGCAAAACTAAGAATTAAAATCATTGTAATGTGACGATCAAATATAGACGCGGGTGGGTGGCGGGCAGATCATTTGAAGCAGTGGACTCGGGTGAAGTTTGAGCTCATTCGCGCATCTCTACACTACACTGACCTGGGTCACCAGTAGCAAACAATGGAGTGTGCTCTGCTGGACAAACTAAGTAATTACACCATTCAGAAGCATTTAATCTGCGTTATATATTCTGTAAAAAAAATAAATAAATTTAAAAAAAAATGCAGCATATTCGCCGATACCGATATATCGGCGACAGGTTCATATCAGCTAATAATATCGGCTAAACGATATATCGGTCGGGCTCAACTCAGCAGTTTTAAAAAAACGCTAAAAAGTGGGCGTGATGCGCTACGGAGCGGAGCGGGAAGAGGGGAGACACAACACACAGCTTCGGGTTCAGACCGTTTCATTTCACTCGCACAGAGTTAAAAACACAAATAAATGCACAGCCATTTGCACTCTGCATCGAAAACATGTATATGAACACAGTTGCACCTCTGAGAACTTTCAAGGCTTATTCTGCGGCGTTTATATACGTTTTTTGACAGGTTGTGTCATGGAGCTGTAAAAACAATTATACTCACTAAGAGAATGAATCGCGTTTGTTCCGAACTCTTATTACAAAAACAAACGCTCTCCTTCGATCCATGAACGTTTCTCTCAGTTAATGTGCGCGATCTCAGTCTGAAGCATCTGTCATAGCAAATCAACACATGCTGTTGTGAATAATTAAACAAAGCGTCTTCTCATAGCATAAGAACACGCAGTTTCATGAATAATTTAATAGACACAGACACGTCATCGATGTACTATCGTCCTTTGCCACGTCACAAATTGTGATGTCAACACAATGTAGATTTTAAACCCAGAAGATGAGAATAGCTCAAAAAAAACTTAAAATTAACCAGTTTTCTCCAACTATTAAAATTAACGGATGCTAACATGGTGTTCTATGATGTGCAACATAAACACCTCTGCTAAAATCTCTGAAAAAGTAGCCTGGGGATTCATGACCCTTTAACCCAACATTCATCAAAACCTAAACAATATGGTTAAATAATTAAACAAACTAATTTACTGCAAACAGTACAATGTTGTGCATGAGAACTGTACTTCCACATATCTTGTTTTTCTCACCAGCTCATCGATGTCTGCAGGGTTGCTTGGTGCAGGTCGTGATTTAGGCAATTGTTTGGGAGAAGGTTTAGGTTCTGGTTTAGGATCTGGGTTGGAAACAGGTCTGGGAGCAGGTCTAAGATCTGGTCTGGAAGTAGATCTGAGAGCAGGCTTTGGATCTGGTCTGGAAGCAGATCTGAGTGCAAGTTTTGGATCAGGCTTGGAAGCAGGTCTGAGAGCTGGTTTGGCACTAGGAGGGGAATGCTTCTTCTGTGGTGGTTTACTCTGCACTTTGGGCTTCAAAGACGACTTCACCTTCTTCCTAGGTCTCACTGTGACATCCAAACCAACAGTCAAAACTAGAGTTTGTGCAGAAACTTTTAAGACAGTTTCAAACCCTTAAGCATATCATGATTCTACAATACATTTGATAAACAAGGTAGCTGACTTTATCTCCTAAAATATTCTTGAAGAAAAAAAAAAATCCCCCACCCCCTGATGAAAAAGTCGTTCAGATTTCAAAGCTCTCAGAGTGGCACTCACAACTGTGGCCCGTGTTCCTGTATTCTTCTTCTGAATCTTCCTCTTCAGAGTCTTCTTCATCTTCCTCCTCCGAGTCCTCCTCTTCCTCGGTGTCCTCATTATAGTTTCTGCAATCAGAAATGTGTAAATGAATTATGAGGAACTTGGAGCATATATATATATATATATATATATATATATATAGAAACCTCAATTTATTCAAATGTAAAACAGTTTAAAGTAGGCCCAACGTGTGCATGTTCTTACCTGCCCCTGGAGCTGCGTCGGGCGGTAGTTGGCTGACAGGCTGGGCAGAGCCACTCACCCGCCGGTATACGGTACAGTGCCGGCCGCAGACAGAACAGATGGAAGGCTTTATTACACTCATCACAGAGAATCAACTTATCATCCTCTCCTACAGAGAAAGACAATCATAAACCAGATCAATTACATGTTAAATCTTCCTGTTACCACGCAGTACTTCCTTTCGTGTGCTGCTCACATTACAGCAACAGGTGGAGTTTAAATCTCAGACATTCTCTCTTTGATGGTCATTCAGTCCCTTGTGTGTTTCACTCTATATTTCATTCTCTAAAGGTGTAAAAGTAACTACACTGAGTCTGAAGGTCATGCGTTTCACACGCAGTAGTGTTTCCCATGTTTTTAAGAGACTATGGTAGGTGGACCTTGGAATACATTTTTGTACATTTTGAAGTTTTATGCATCAATCTGAGAGACAAAAACTGAGATTACAAAACTGTGGAAGGCCGCTACACTCTAGGTAATTAATGTGAAACATGACCTGACCATGACCATTCGGTAGTTAGAACACACTTGAAATGTTTTATAGACCAATATAAACTGCCAACATTATAATTAATAAAAATAAATGCTTGATTAATTGAACTGGATAGAGAAGCAGTCATCAAGTGTTCAGCACACATGTGAACTTGCTCAATGTGGTATAAAAAGCATCCCAGGATGCAGCCCAAAAAGTGTGTTAAATGAATGTCCAGAGTGTGCAGAGTTGGAATCTAGACAAAGGGTGGCAACTCTAAAAAATTACTTAAAATAAATTTTTTGGTCACTACATAATACAAAGTTTCAATGTGTCATTTCATAGTTTTGCAGACTTTATCATGTCCAGACTTTTGCCACTGTATAAAACACATTCTAAAGCCTCTAAAATGCACACATCAAATAATGCTTTTGAGGTTGCTCTTCAGGTATGTCACCTTTCCGGCGGCACACTTTACAGCGAGCATTCTCTGCAGACATATCCCACTTGATGCAGGCATCCAGCATGCCGAGCAGAACGTGCATACGAGAGCAAGTCTGAGCTTCACAGACTGCAGTTTTCCACTTCTCCACCGCGGTTGCTACCTAGAAATTCAACATGCAGAAGAAGTTTAGTCTTGTGTGAGAATGTGAATACACACATACACTACCCTTCAAAAGTCTGGGCTCAGAAAGGAATTATTACTTTTATTCAGCAAGTATGTGAGCATAGGCCTACTCATTTCTCAATAATATTTTTTTCCTTTCAAAAGGGAGCTAAACAATCAGTTAATAGCTCTATAGATTTTTGCTTAGTGTAAGCATTCTAATAAACCACGTTGAAGCTTTTCATCTAGAATTGTGTATTTATTTTTCTTGTAAGTATATGTTCTTGTTAGAACTTGTGATATTTCAAAGATACTGACAATTTTAGAGTGAAGCAGCTATTAGCGCAGATTTCGTTATGCAGTGAAGGCGAAGCAGCATTTCTGTTAACAAGTGAGAAGTGAGCTGGAAATGGTCAGAGGAGAGGAGTGATTATTGATGCTTGGAGCGCAGAAAGGAAATTGTTGCCGATCCACTCCACTCACTTTCTCTGGCAAGGATGCATTAAACTGATCAGTAGGAGTAAAGACTTTTACAAAAAATCTATTTAAATAAATACTGTTGTTTTGAATTTTCTATTTCAAAGAATCCTGAAAATATATATATCAGTTTCCACAAAAACAATGACTTTCCTAATAAATTAAATGCAGCTTCAATGTCCATTTTTTTGACAAGTACTAATGAAGACAAATTTGTTTCTTTTCCCTTTATTTCTACTTGTTCATTCAGTGCCTACAATGCTACAATGTTCACTTCACTAGGTCATGAAGAATACATGCCATTGTTTTAATTTGTTATTATTTAGTCATATTTAACTTTTAAATAAAACTAATATTATATATTTTTGGCTATGGTATTGAGAATCATGAAATAAGCTACTGCAATGTTAGTAACCCTAATCATAACACACTCACCCTGGCCTCTTCGGCCAGTCTCTTCTGATCATCCACTTCCTCCGCCGTCGTGCTCTCCTCTCCACCGGTCTTCTTTTTCTTTTTCTGTTTGGGTGCCATGAAGCCCTGCAGAAACTTCTTGATCACGCTCTCTTGCAGTGTGATCACACACTCCCCAAAGTCCTGCAACTTCTCCAAGTCACGCACCTGAAAGCACAAGTGAGGTCAGGAAGGTTTAAAGTGGTGGAGATATCCATGTAGCACGGGTACCATTACCATACCGTGAAAAAAGATATTGGTTTTAGTGCCCACACCATGTAGTCTTAATGTCTCTCACCCTTTCTTCAAATTCAGATGTGTCCTCCATGTATCCAAGGCCTCCTTTCTGCAGACGAGATGCTACCTCAATAATGTCACTGCGCAAGAATTTAAGCAGCTCCTGGTATCCGTCACAGGTCTTCAGGCCTGGGTTACCTTTTTTCGTCAGATGGATGGAATGCAAGATTTCCTGGTAACTAAAATAAAGACAACATCTTCATTATTAATCCATTTTCCTGGGATTGAAAGCAAGTAACGTGTGAAAATATCAATTTTCAGGAAAGGAGGCGAAGAGTGCGTGTATACTCACTTAACCTGGAGCCTGAGTTTGAGTTCACTCTCTCTTACTCCCTGAGGGTGAAGACTTTCTATTAGTTCATCGAGGTCTTTTTGCGAATCGCACACAAACCTGGGAAAACAATTTAAGAACAAGCATTTGTGTTGCTGCCCAATACTGATGTCCAGACAGATGTCATGCCATGTTCTGTCCTGATCCATGGAACTGTAAATCTTCATTACAACTCATTTTAGCCCATTTTTCTTTTTGGAATTCTTTGCTACAAAACAATGCATAGTCTCATACAAAAAGAGCTCGGAGCCACAAATTACTTAAAGGCTGATTTCCCAGACGCCAACGATACAACTGGGAATTTGCAAGAACACTTACCAGAGGTTTTGGCCTTGTTTGGGCACAGTGGTCTCAATACAGGACTCAGGCACTGGTGCCCCCTGTTGGCCATTTTCATTAGAAGCGCTGACTATGCTGCCTTCATCCTCTTTCTCTCCATCTGAACAGACACATTTAAAAAAAAATTTTTTTGCTGTAAATAACAGCATTTTATCTATAAATGATATATTCCACTGGTTAAATTAAAGCTTGTACCAAGAACCAAAGAACTATTTGTACCAACAAAAAGAGTTGCTTCTGTGAACAACAGATTTAGTACTTTAGCAGAAAAGTCAGCATAGCAAATGAACAATTTTACGTGGCCAATGTATAAACTCTTCCAAGAAGTATTATTAATATCTTGTACATGTTAATTTGGCCCTACTATAACAAAACAAAATAAAAAATTCAGTATTTTAGAAAGCGTGTGGGTAGACTAACCTTCCGTCTCCTCCTCTTTGTCTTCCTCTGCCGACACCGGCTCCTCTTCAGGAGGAAGAGTGAATGTGTAGTCTATACTCTCATGAACCCATCCCTTTTCAATATACAGGCCAGGAACCACGTCAGAGAACAGCCAGTACCGGTTGTGATTGCGATCGGTACCCAGTGGTGTTCTCCTCAGCACCAGCTTCGCTTTAGTGACGGCATCCTGCAAGGCTTTCTCTGTTGCGGCTTTCTGCTTCCTGATTCGCTCCTCCTCCGCTTCCTTCTCCATACGCTCTGCAGCAGATGCATATATAACAGTTTAAAATAAAATGTGTAATCTTATTTTATGTTTTCTATCATGATATGCAACTCCTGCAGTTCCATTATGCAGCTCTAAGGTTTTTTTACTTGGTGCATTTTAAATATTTTGAATCTACTTGGCACACACTTGTCCAGTGTAGACAAGGTCAGTTACTTCATATTAATTGTAAAGTGAATTTCCTTACCTTATGGAATAAAGTATTCACTAAAGCAAACATGTTTTCTATCATGATATGCAACTCCTGCAGTTCCATTATGCAGCTCTAAGGTTTTTTTACTTGGTGCATTTTAAATATTTTGAATCTACTTGGCACACACTTGTCCAGTGTAGACAAGGTCAAAGTTACTTCATATTAATTGTAAAGTGAATTTCCTTACCTTATGGAATAAAGTATTCACTAAAGCAAAAGTTACATAAACGCTACCATTCAAACATGGTTGGTAAGATTTTTTATGTTTTTTTTAAAGTCCTTTATGCTCTTCAAGGCTACATTTATTTGAATATTAGAAACAACCCAATAAAAACTGTAGTACTGTGAAATCAAATAATTTAAAAATATTTTTTTTCCAATTATATTTTAAAATAACTTATTTATTCCTGTAATGGCAAACCTAAATTTTCAGCAGCTATTCTTCCAGTCTTCAGTGTCACATGATCATGAATCTTTCTAATATTCTGATTTGGTGCTCAAACTTTTTCTTATCTTATCATTATCAGTTGTGCTGTTAAATATTTTTCAGGAAACGATGCACTTTTTCAGGATTCTTTGATGGGTAGAAAGTTAAATCCATTTGCTCAATTTAATCAACTTTAAAAGTTGTTCAGGAAAGGCACTTGATTTTAGTAGTGTAAATGTTAAAGCGCAGCATGAAACAACAAAATGAGGAAAGAGTCAGATTATTTTCTAAGAAGGGGGGGGAAAAAACGTTTCTGACACCTTAAAGTTATAATTTTTCTCCTTTACTCTTTGCAGGTTTCTGGAATACCACTTCATTCTCACTTTCAACCAGTTTTTTTTAACCTAGTTTCTGGCATTCTGATTCTTCTTTTACATGTCTGTCACCTTTGTTTTGCCGTTCCTGCTCTTCCTTTTCTTTCTTGGCCTGAATGGACATCAGACGTCTGCTTTTCACTGTGCTGATCATGTCCTCCGGCTCTGGTTCCACTTTGGCGGGGACCTTAGGTGTCTCTTTTATCACATTTGAATCTTTCCTCCCATCTGCCCTCATTAGTACCTCTCCGCTAGCATCGGTTTTTGCCTCCATCTGCTCTTTGCGTTTCTGCTTCTCTGCCTTTTTACGTTCATTGACTTCTTTAAGCGTGGCAAGCCGCTCCCTCCACAGCTCGGCAGATCGCTGCTGAGTGGCCTCCACGTGATCTTCCACTGAATAGGTCATGAGGATACGATGACACAGCGCCACCAGCAGGCTGACCTTCTCCTGAGAGTTCAGTTCAAACACCTCCGACGTCTCCAGTTTTTCCAAGAACTCACTGCTCACCACGTCATCGTAGCCCACACCAGGCTGCCAGTCATCCGAGCCGCGGGCGCTCTCTTCCTCATGGGCATCCGTTGGCCGTAAACACAAGCGAACCAGCTCGGATATGGAGTGCATGGTCAGAGGAATCTCAGATAACGGCATGTCCAGTTCACTGTAACCTTCCGCCAGCTCATCTTGCAGAAGTGTTTGCAGCAGCACCACCAGCACACGGTTCAAGTAGAGGAAACCTGCCTTCTCTCCAGCTAAAGCCTCCATCAGAGCGATAGAGGTGATAGGATACTGGTCATCAGGCATCAGGAGGCCAGAGTAGCAGTGAAGGAACTCAACTACCATGGCTATGTCACCAAAGAGGGTGTTGGGAAGCCCCTCGGGCATGTCGAACAAACGGAATGTTGGCAAGCTCTTGCCTTCGAGCTCCTGGTCTTCGTAACGGCGTGACATCTCCCGTCTCATCTGCATTTCTTTCTCCCTCCGCTCTTTGGCTTTCTCACGCAGCTTCTGCTTGATTTCCTGGCGCTTCTGCCGCAGAACGTCCTGTTTCTCCTCCTCGGTCATAAGGGCCCATCTGCGTTTCTGCTCAAACAGTTCCCAGCGTTTTTGCACCAGCTCTTTCAGCCCCTCAGGAAGCCGGCCACGATCCTCTGCGGACAGCGTTTTTGCCGCCTTAGACACCAGTGAGGACAGAGTTGTCTTCTTGTCTTCTTTGCCTTTATTCTCCTTGTAAAACCGAAGGAGATGTAAGGCCATGGGCGCCAAAGGTTTGCCCAGCTTAGCAGAGCCAGTACTTGGACTTCTGCCTCGCTTTTTGGGGCTAGCAGCAGCAGGTGGGCTTTTGGCAAGATCCAAAAGGGTCATCTGCTTCATTTTGGGTTTCTTGGTGCTTCCAGCGCTTTTGTCTTCCTTTTTGGAGAGCTTCTGGCCATTGGGAGTCTTGGTGACCCCACTCTTGCGGCTCTTTTTGGGGTCAGTGGATTTTTTGTCTCCCTGCTTTTTATTTAATTTTGGGGCGCTGAGGATGTTTTCCCCATCACATTTCTTAGATGTACCTGAGTTTTTCATTTTTAACGGAGATCCATTAACTTTCTTCACCTGAACAAAAAAAATACAGAAAAATAAATAAATCCAACAAATATTTAAAGGAATAAAACATTTATATGTTATATAAACCGTTGAAGAACATTCATTTTATACAATTACAAGTCCCCTCCTAGACAACCATACGACAAAAAAAAATTAAATTTCCAAAAAATATTTATACTGCAAAGGTTAGTTTATTAGTTGGGAGAAATTTGTCTTGAGCAATCAAGAGAGCAGGCCAACAGGTCAACGTGTATCCATACTAAAGTGAATTTAATTATTAGCACCAATTGATTGATCATTAATTAACACCCCTACTACCTAGACAGCATTTTAAGACATCATAGTCTTGTACTTGTCATAAATTCTGTTCCAAACAGTAAACAGCAACATTATGATATGCAACAGCAAAACCAACCATGTTTAGGTTAATATTATTTAATAATTTCAGTATAATTGTGTGCTATGTATTTTTACACATATTAAGAGTATCCCATTGGTATCTTAGCAATCCATGAACTTTTAGGTAGACTAATAGAATCTAGTGATTTATGTAGGGCCCTATGATTTCCGCGATGCGGAAAACGTGGACGGAATCGCGTAATCCAGTCATAAAAACAGAATTCAGAGTTTAACGCGGAATGTCACGGAATTTGTCAAATTTTGAATGAATTAATAAAAAGTAGGTCATTACACTTCATTATCAAATCGTGATATGGACTAGTATTTGTAAATATTAAGCCGCTAAAGTCGATTTAAATATGAATCCTGCATGTTCTGCGTGTCTCTGTTAATTTTAATAGTAAATCCCGTTTGCCAAAAAATTAAATTTGCTTAATTTTCAATAATTAAAAGATAAATGAAATTAATGTTTTATGCCTTCATTTGATAACCAGAAAATTTTAAAATACACAACACAGAATTTCTGAGGAAAAAAAATTCATAAGGCTACTTTAAGAAAAAAAAATGAATAAAATAAATTGTTTTATGCATTCAAATAATTAGACATGCTAAAACGCAGAATTTGGTAACAATCAAAAATATGGTGAGAGAAAATAAATTTCATAGGGCCCTAAACATGTAATTTTTGTCAAACTTTTAATAAATTGATGTGAAAATGTATAAGTTTCATGATTTTAATTAGACATGCTTTTTGATTAATACAATTTAATTTAACTATTAAAAAGGAGTCGAGAAAATTTTAAATGAAAGAATGAATCGAGAAAAATTTAAATTTAAAAAAAACTTTAAACGAAATTTAGGAAAAAAATTTAATGGATTTCATAGGGCCCCATTTATGTGAAGAGTGCTTTTATGCTTTGGTTAGTATTATAAATACCTGCATATGACCCCAAAGGGTTGGGCTGAGAGGTATGTTCTGGGAATCTTTTTTCTTTTTCTTCTTTTCCCCTTTTACTTTGACTCCCTCACTGTCTTTTCCTGTCTCCGCAGTCTTCAGCTTCTTATTGGGTTTACCTTCCGGTGAGCTCATGCTTTTCCTCTTGGCGGATGGATTTTCTGCCAAAAACTAAACAGAGGAAAATCTAATATAATAAAACAATTCTCTATAAAAAACACTTTTTTTCCTGAAGCATGTACCCCACCTTGTGAGGGTCCAGTAAAAAGTCGCTGAATTTGCTTGGCAGGTTGTACTTTTTCACCAATTCATCCTCCACCACCCAGGGGGCGCTCTCTCCCGAGCCCAACCTCAGAGCGTAGTGTCTGATGAAGTAGCGCATTATTTCTTTGTTGGGAGGCCGCTCCGTTCTGAACAGGCTGTCTGCAGGGACGTCACTGATAACTTTGTCCTCATTGAGAAGTTTGACATCGTACTTGTGGGGCAGAAATTTGGGCATGACCCATTTCTTCTTCTCTTCTTTCATACTGGTTGGGAGTTTTCTGGGTGAACGGCGGGCCCTATCAGCTACAGACCAAAAAAAAAAAAACACGGTAAAACAAAAAATATTTATTACATTTTAACTCACAAAGAAACTCATTTTATACTTCAATGTAGAAGTATAAACAATTACAATTAGGCTACTAATTATTTAAATATGAACCAAAAATTTGATTATTTTAATATATCGTGAAAAGGATGACCATGAAGAGCAGCTAAGACTCACAGAGACTCTCTCTCCTGCTGTCCTCCTCTTTGGACTGTGGCTCCTTCTTCAGGTTCTCCTGACTAGCATTCTCTTTATCACTGGATGGAGAATCACAAGCTCCTTCCATCTTTTTCTCCACATTTTCTTCTGGAGGATTCTCCAGCGGATTCATCTTTACCACTTTCACATGCAACGTCTTATCCTTGCCAACCTTACAGAGAGAGAGAGACAGAACTAATATTTCATATCCATAAAGAGCAAACAGAAGAACTGGAAGATGGGAACCGACCTTGCTTTTTCCATTAGTTAATTTTACACGGATAATACTTTTACCATTGTAGGTTTGATCTAAACAAATACTTGAGCATAAGTAGGGCTGGACGATATGGCCAAAATTGATATCACGATATATTTCTTCATTTCGGTCGATACGATATAATTCCGATATCGATATGAACACTATTTATCTGAATTCAAAAT